CTTTGCTAACAATGCTCTCACCCCAAGAACAAATGACACGCTAATGGTAGTTTTTTTTAATTCACTCATGGGACATGGGTGTTACAAGCTGGGACAGCATTTATTGCCTGTCCCTAGTTGCGCTTGAGAAGGTGGCGGTGAACCGCGTTCCTGAAATGCTGCAGTCCGCGTGCGGTAGGTTGATCCACAATGACCTTATGGAGGAAGTTTCAGGATTTTGATCCAGTGACATTGAAATGGCAATGTATTTCCAAGTCAGGATGGTGAGTGGCTTGGAAGGAAACTTGCAAATGTTGATGATCCCAGGTATCTGCTGACTTTGTCCTTCTAGATGGAAGGCATTGGGGGTTTGGAAGGTGCTATCTGAGGATCTTTGGTGAGTTTCTGCAGTGTATCTTGTAGATAGTACACACTGCTGCTACTGAGTGTTGGTGGTGGAGGGAGTGGATGCGGTGTCAATCAAGCGGGCTGCTTCATTCTGCATAGCATCAAGCTTCTTTGGTGTTGTTGAAGCTGTACCCATCTAGGTAAGTGGGAAGGATTCCATCACACTGTTGACTTGTGCCTTGTAAATGGCGGACAAGCTTTGCGGAGTTTTGAGGTGAGTTATTCACCACAGTATTCTTAGCCTCTGGTCTGCTCGTGTGGCATTCTATTCATTTAGCAAGTCCAGTTGAGTTTCTAATCAATAGGTGTTGATAGAGGGGGATTCAATTATGGTAACACAATTGAATGTCAAGGAACTATGGTTAGATTGTCTGTCAATAGATATGTAACTGCCTGGCATGTATGTGGTGTGAACTTTACTTGCCACTTATGAGCCCAAGGCTGTATATTGCCCAGATCTTGTTGCACTTGAACATGGACTACTTCAGTATCTAAGCAGTCATTAAAGGTGCTGAACATTGTGCAGCAATCATAAGCGAGCACCCCCACTTCTGACCTTATGATGGAGGCAAGGTCATTGATGAAGCAGCTGAAGATGGTCCGGCCGAGGACACTAACCCTGAGGAACTCTTGGATTGATGTCCTTGAGCTGAAATGACTGACCTCCAACAAACACAACCATCTTCCTATGTGCCTGATAAGGCTCCAACCAGCAGGCAGTTTGCCACCTGATACTCATTGATTCCAATTTTGAATCAATGCTTCTAGGGTTCCTTGGTGCCATACTCAATCAAATGTGGCCTTGATAGCAAAGGCTGTCACACTTTCTTCACCTCTGGAATTCAGCTCTTTTGTCCATGTTTGAAACAAGGCTATAATGAGGACAGGAGCTGAGTGGCCCTGGTGGAACCCAAACTGGCCATCACTAAGCAGGTTATTGCTGAGCAGGACCTGTTTGATAGCACGATTGATGACATTTCCATCACTTTACTAATGATTGAAAGTAGACTGATAGCGTGGTGACTGGCCGTGTTGGATTTGTCCTGCTTTTTGTGTACAGAGTACACCTGGGCAAATTTCCACATTTTCGAGTAGATGCCAGTGTTGTAACGGTAATGGAGGAGCTTGGCTAGGGGAACAGCAAGCTCTGGAGCACAGGTTTTCAGTACTATTGCTGAACTTTGTCAGGTCCTATACCCTTTGCAATATCCAGTGCCTCCAACAGTTTTTTTGATGTCACAGTGTGAATCTAGTTGGCTAAAGACTGGCATCTGTGATGCTGGGACCAGTAAATGAGGCCAAGCTGGATTGCTGCAAGTGCTTCAGCCTTATCTCTTGCAATGATGTGTTGGGGTCTTCCATCATTCAGGATGGGGGATATCTGTGGAGCCTCCCCCTCCTCCTCAAGTGAGCTGTTTAATTGTCCACCACCATTCACAACTGGATGTGGCAGGGCTGCAGAGCTTAGATCTGATCCATTAGTTTTGGAATTGCTTAGCTCTAACCCTTGCTGCATGTGCTATTTGGCATGCACGTAGTCCTATTTGGTAGTTTAACCAGGTTAACACCTTATTTTTAGGGATGTTGGTACTGTTCCTAGTATGCCCTCCTGCACTCTCCATTGAACCAGGTTTGATCACCTGGTTTGATGGTAATAGTTGAGTGCTGGGTATACTGGGTCATGAGGTTGCAGATTGTGTTGGAGTACATTCTGCTGCTGTTGATGGCCCACAGTGCTTCATGGATGCCAGTCTGGAGTTGTTAGATATGTTTGGTCTATCCGATTTAGCATGGTGATAGTACCACACAACACAATGGAGGGTATTCTCAATGCGAAGGTAGAATTTCTTTCTATCAGGATGTGTGGTGATCCCTCTTACTGATATTGTCATGGACATACGTATCTGCAGCAGGCACACTGGTAAGAACGAGGTCATCTCAGACATTAATAAATATTATATTTGATATCTCATGGGCACTTTTAACTGAACGTCAATCGCAAGTACCTGAAATAACAATAGGATTTATTTAACACTCATAAATATATAAAAAAGTGTATCAAAATACATAATTTTAAAAAAATTACATGTTGGAAAAGGACATAGGATGAAACGTAACCAAAAACTTAAATCTCGGAAAGGAGTTTCAAGGCAAATCTTGGAAAAGACATGCTCCTAAACTTAATTCCTACACCTGAACACCTGAATACAACTCAATACAATTCACATATAATTAAGACATGCTCCTAAACTTGCTCTCATAAACTTCAACTTGCTGACTTTGCCCATCATCTTTCTCTCACACTGTAAGGCCATCGCTTTCACTATCTCCATACCCACGATGATTGCCCTATAATTCCTGCACCTCATCCTCTTACCATCATTTTCAGACTTCTGTTATGACACTGTTACTGTTTACATCTCTATTCCCCTCCAACTGTTCCCAGAGCCCAGCACTACCACCAATGCCACAACTTAGAAAATTCTTTCCTCTATCTTGAATCTTTAAAATGACTTTAAAAATACATTACATTAAATAGTTACAAAAACAAAATAATCAGTGATTTAAAACTTGGTCAAAATTGTAATCACCTTATCTTAGCCCAAAAACACCAAGCCTTCTAAAATACTACAAGCAAAATATATATTTATTTATTCAAAGTACAGTAAATCATTGACTAAAAACTGAAACTGCTGTTGCTGCATATCAGAAACAAAAACAGAAATTGCTAGAAAAGCTGAGCGGGTCTGGGAGCATCAGTGGAGAGAAATCAGAGTTAACCTTTTGGGTCGAGAGACCCTTCCCCAGAGCTCAGCAATTAAGTGTTCTGAGGAAGGGTCACTGGACCCGAAACGTTAACTCCGATTTCTCTCCACAGATGCTGCCAGACCTACTCAGCTTTTCCAGAAATTTCTGTTTTTGTTTATGGTAAATCATTGCCTGGTAGTTTGTCCTAAGTGTATCCCTTACCTCACAATGACCACAAGAGATTGGTCAATCAAGAAGTCTATGCTTCTTGATTTCTTGTTGAACCACTACCATGAGATAACTGGTATGTAACGTTCCTACTTTTAATACACATACTTTAATGAATTGTTATCATGCAACTGAAATTAACAGCACAGTGAAAGCCAAGTGCAGGCTAACAATTCTTTATAGCAGATAATGCTGTTACTTCCCAAATGGACATCATTGGACTTTTAACTACATGAAAAATTTGGCAGTGATGGTTCAGTTGATCTTTTCTATGCAGCTGTGTAACATACAGCATTGTTAATTTTTCTTCATGATCAGCCATCCCCACCTAATGGCCTGCATAGGAACTGAACCGAATCTCACAGAATGGTTATTGCTACTTCAATCTATGGATTCTTTACTTACCTGCATTCTCAATTGAAAATCAAAGTTTGATACTCTATCTTCTATTCTAACTCAATTCTCTCATAAGTAATGATCAACTTCTTCACATGGACAATTTTCTTACCTGTCATTCCTTATGGATTTAATGATGCTTAGCATTATTGGTGTCTCTTTCACCAAAGTTTCTCAAAAATATAATCGTTTCATCACAATATCAGACACTGCTAATTATGTTTTTATTTGAGGCATATTATTCCTCCCAAAAACAAATAATAATCTTAAATGCACCGACAGTCTATTTCTCATGTTACCACATTAATGAATATAATAATGATTATAGTTTATGAATACATGAGAAATGAAAAACAAAAAATGAACTGCAGCAAATTTCTGCAAAGGCAGTAATCAGCAAAATAGTCTGATTAAAGATTCCACTCTCACATATCTGTTGCTTGCAATTAGTGACTGATCTATGCAAGAATTTAATTCACGGTAATTTAAAGGATTGTCAGTTAATTTCCATCTTTTCCCATTGCAATCTGTCTTTGTAGCGTACACATCCAAAAGCTGAGCTATAACAAAGTTGTTCAATGATGGATCTGGAATCAATCTCTAAACAGTTTTGTAAGCATTTATTTACAGAGATCCTAACTCAACAACCATAGTTTTCAATACGTCCCCATTTATGGAAAGATAAGTAAATTTGTGGTTAATCCCGAAGACCTGAATACAACTCAACACAATTCACATATGATTAACACCAATTGCCAGTCCTTCAGAGCAATACCGTAAATTGCTTCAAACACTTCAGTGTCCTCACATCCATTGCCAGTTCCTCAGGGCTCCTCCCCTCTCCAGTGCCAAAGATTTCAGCACCCTAGCATTCACTGACTAACCTTCAATCCTCTTGCACCCAATCACTTCAAGAACACCAATTCTGGCTCCAGTAGAACAGACTAATTTCCTGCTGCAGGTTGATAGGTTGCTGATGTTATTCAAATGTCACCCAGCTGTGAAAATGGTTCAGGTCTCTCACTAATTCTAGTAAGCAGATATCAGTCTGCCCAAAATAATCAGGTCCATGAAAACTCATTCTTGTATTTATAAAACCAAAACTTATTTCGCCGTAATGAATGTTGGTAAAAGCGATGCAATTTTAAAACTTCTACGCTATCCTAGTCAATGATATGAGGCCACGCTACTGTAACATGTTTCCACAAATAATTCATATGGAATTTAACTGAAAATCTTACCACTTTTATGCAGCTGTTTTCTTGAAAGCTACTGGGTAAATCAGTTATCATTTCCTGGGCAAGAATTTCAACAGCTTTGGACTCCAAGCCATGTCGCCGTACGAACTTCTCACTTGCCAGAACGGCTGCTCCTGCTCCATTGGATGTAGGACTATTTTTAAGTAAAGTATTATAAGATAAGACAAAAAAGAGGAAAAACTCAATCACTTAGTCTAATTTGAAGTTTAAAATATTAGCAAACAATTTTAAAAAAAATACACAAGAGAACTTTGTTTCATGTTAATTTTCTCCCAAACTGTACTGAATCAAACTAATCTAACAATTAATAGGTGCTGCCATCCCACCAGTATCTTAGCCAATAGCTCATTCTTTATCATTCTGTGGGTAACAGTATCAAAGATTCAAGAACATCAATGATTACTGTCACACACCAATGTACAAGTGCAGACGTTGCTGGACAATAAAAGCATGGCATTTGATTTCACCTCCCATTTCCAACATCACAAGGAGTTGTCACTAGAGTTAACTACACTGACTCTGTTTAGCTAAGATGAGCTAACATAGCACATTCAATGCATTAAAATTGGATTGTTTTATGCACCTTACAAATACTGTGCTTTACCCAATGGTCCTTTGAAGAGCCCATGGTGTGTTGAAATGCTTCCAAGTAACATTTCCAGCATCAAAGAATGATCAATAGCTTGTTTATTTTTCACACTCAAATATCAACACGAGTTGAATAAGTTTAAGATTCCATGACTAAAATCTGGAATTGAAAACTAATCTCAGTAATGTTGAATGTGAAACCATAACTGATTGTCGGCTTAATCCATCTGGTTCACGAATGCCCTTTAATAAAGGAGATCTGCCAATTCTTTCAGTCAATTCCACTTTTGATGCTGTAATACAGTTAAATCAAATAGTGCCATCTTGTTTTGTCTTCCCTTGTGGAAAACAAGGACAAGAAACACCACTGAATTCTGGGTTGAGTCAATATTCTACATCAAGGAAGGTTGTGAATAAAGGTGCAGTGACACATGCAGCAATTTTTCAAAGAAGCAAAAGCAGGGAGTCGAATGGTCCATGTCACCTTGTTAAATTGCATTTGAGACTTGTTTTTAAACATGAGTGCAGGCAGTAAATTGAAAAGTATCCCATTCTTACCAGCACTGCAGGAGAGTCAGGAATTCAAAAATTGGGCGAGACTTCATCACCTGGTCAAGACTGAACTCATCTTGGAACTGGGAATATCTAAATAAATGAATTACAATTATTTATAATTCAGATGAATAAAGAAATCATGACTTTTATACGTTACACCAAGTTGATGATGATCTTATACATGGGGCAGAGCTTGTTTTAAATCTTAATGACTTAAAAGTTTAAATTTTCAACTTCAGAGAGATCTAGAGAAGTTTGGCTGTTGAATTGCAATACATTTTCAAAAATCTGAACGTACATATGCTTTATCTTATTGTTATTTGTTCCAGCTTATTTTTGTCCCATCAATCATAGAGTTCATGAACCCTGAATTTGAGGACTGAAAGGGCTTAGCCAAAGAAACAAACCATGATTCCCATGTTTCTGCAGCAACAGGGTAGCAAGGGTGAACAGCAAAACGAACTTGGTAGCAGATTTTCAGAGGGTTGGGCCAATTCCAGACACTTTTGAATTTTCTGAGAGGACCTAGTTCTGGAGGTTGCATATCCTTTTCTGACAGATGCCAAGTGGCCAGCAGTGGGAAAGCAGTGGATTGTGAATCTCTGCCAAGAACCTGAAGTCAACACTTGAAAATGGTGGAGTGAATTTTTACTGTTCCAATGACGTTGACACATGATACAGGAATTACAAATTTACAGAGTGTACGTATATTTTTTCAAAGGCATGTGAGGTCTAATCAAATATCATGATCTGAAGTCTATTAAATTCTCAGCCATTTAAACATAAAAAAAGACTGAAGCTGACAGAATTTTAAAACAAAACATTGTTCGTCTGCTTTTTCACAGGCCATTTGATGTAAATGAGAAAAGAAAATTACCCATTCCTGCACATTCAATAGTCCTTGGTTGACATTTCCTACAGGCTATTATCACAGCTGAGGTCTAGATGACTACTTGGTTGAATTTCATAAGTTGCAATATTACAAGTTACCTTGACGGGGTGGGGGTGCGCTGAATTCAGATTTTGATTGACAATACTAGAGAATTAGTTGTGTCTTATCTGGTTATTGACTATCACTTTGTTTTAAGAACAATTAAACAATTTAAGGGAATTAAATCTTTGAACGGGTTTCATGAACCAAAGTTCTTTTCAGTACCAAATGTGTACAAGCAAGAGTTCTAACAGATTGTTGAAGTCTAACTTATTTTTCACCTTCACATGGTTCCTGAGTTCCACCCATAGTGGGGATACTGGGTGAGTGCTTATGGAGCTCGCTAAGAATATGGGTTGGCATGGTGAAGTAATGGGAATGGGGGGGAAAGTATGGAATGAGGTTCCAGGGCCTAGCAACTTCTAAACCAAGAGGGGAAGCTTCCAGATAACCAAGGTGGCCTCCTAACCAGCCTTTACTTACAATCTGTTTCTAGGGTTTGGGTGCCTGACTCTAGTCCAACCTCTCCCCAGAAAAAAAATGGTCCAGGATATGTACCAACATGAGGTTGCTGCATCAGTGGTGAAAATCTGGTCTTTATTTTCTGTGGACTGAAATTGAATAATTGAGACTGGAGAGGGGAAAAGTATTTAGCAATTTTGTTTTGATCAAGCCTTTCAAGCAGAACTTGGCTCCCAAGACGATAATACATGAAATTGGTCCAATCAGAGGGACTTGTGTATGCTACTTGAATGATACAAACTGATAAGCAAATGGTCTTTTTTACATGTTGCTTTCATAATAAGTTCGTCTATTGAAGCTAAAACTACGAGCTGAACTAATTTCATGGCAATTTCTCATTATGTTATTAAATCCCAGACTTGAACTGAGGGTTAGAGCATCCTCTCTGCATCAGAAAGTGCTTCTGGTTTGTCCTAATTGTTTTGCAATTAACAATACAATTTTACCTATGAAAATACCCATCAAAAATGTGTTAGTATACTTTTATGACTGTTCATCATGATTAAAAGGGGGATTGTGCTCTGGTGAACTGAGATAAGTGAAATATTCTCTGATTAGGTAATGTATTAAATCTATACTAAATCTCTGGCTCGGAATTTCATGCATGCTGAGAAAAATGATCTGGTGTTATGACTGTGTGCTGGCAAAAGTATATTCAATTATGCGTTTTTAAGGAAAATATTTATACAAGTAATTCTATTGTATTATACAAGGATGGAAGTACATTAAAAATAGCAGTAAAAGTAGGCCATTTGGCCTTTTTGTACCTGCTGTTACACCATTCAACCACTCAACAAAATCACAGCTAATCTTGTACCTCGTTCCTTATTCCATTATCCCTCAGTTCCTTTAGTACAACAATCTATTGACCTATATTTATACACACAGAACATCAATAAATTTGAATGTTCTGAGGTCACAAAAATACAAGATAAAGCCAAAAAGATAAAATGGTTAGGATGAGGTACTTTGCTTAATCCTTCGACTATTGAACCCTGCAGAGAAAATATTTATATAAAACATATAAAACTATAATCCGGTGAAGTTACAAGTGAGGAAAATAATAGAAATAGATAGAAGATTACAAATGATTTGGTAACATGTTTTCTAGCCTAGCAGATCTGTCATTATTCTGTCTCTTTTGCTGTTAAAAGAAAAAACTGACCAGGCGAATGACAATAATTCACACGTTGGAGATAAAGCTAAAGTAACATCTGTGTTTCTTCTTTCTGCGTCCCCTTAAATGTTAGAATTTAAAATTTCCAACATTCATCATACAGTTTCCTACTTTAGCTCATTCTTTCCCAGAATCTCAGATTCTAAAACGCTGTACTTCTCTCACAATTCTACACATTTTAAAACTTGCATAACCAACAATTCTCAACACAACTATTTTTTCCCTGCTTACGGTGCTCTATCTACACTACGGGCTTTGGACCTTCACCCTGACTGCTCAAAAATTAACACAAATATTGTTACTAATCATTAACCAAAAAGCAAGCAAAAGGACTCACGGATTATTTGTTGAATGCTTGTGATTCTTCCAAGCTATTTTGGCAAAGTGCTCTGGTTTAGTACCTACATTAAAAACAAAAAGACAAATTGTACGGGAGAAACAGTGATGCACTATGTGGGATTAAATCCCAACACAACTCAGTGCAATGAAAGTTTACTTTCTGTCAACCATGAGGTTTCTATGCAAGATGAACCTGAGACTACATCTATTAGATTTGTTGTAAACTTGAATTTATTATTATAAAAGTAATTAGAATAGAACTTAACGTGCAGGTGGGAGTTGAACTCAGGCCCAGAGGTAGGAACACTACCACTGTGCCACAAAACATCTTATATATCAGTTACAAAATGACTGATTTCAAAATTTAGCTACTCTACACATTTCCAGTACCTGTATTGCCTCTCTATTGCCCTGCACAACATAGTGGCCACTATGTTCCAAGCTGAAGTAGTCAAAGAGTGGCCCCCTTCCCCCCAGTCAGTCATTTTGTTTCTGTAGCACTTCTGGAGCCCAATTTTGTGGCCAATACCTTTACTGCATCTGTTATCTTTCAATCATAAGTCAATTTTCTTCAGAGTAGACAATGGCTATACATTAAATTTGTAAACATACGCACAGGTGTGTTAGCCATAGTTACCATATTTCTCCATGTGCTCTTTACCAGCACTTCCAAATAATTGTGGTGCGATTGGAGCTGCACAAATCCCATATTTATTATTCAGCACCTCACAGTGTTTGTCTAGGGGATTGATCCGGTCAGTGTACTGGAAACACAAATAGTAAACAATCATATTCTATAAAGAAATGCAGTATAGTTTAGAAAGGAGGAAACTGTTCTTACTCAACTAAATTAGATAGAAAGACAGGTAGATGAAATAGTGGACCAGCAGTTGGATGCATTTAAAAATAATACAATAGGGTATAGAATAAACATTTTCCAACAGGGAATAAATTGTGTTAAAAATTAGAGCTCCACATATGCATAATAAGAAACATAGAAACGAGAGTAACAGTTTAGTCTTTGTTGAAAGTGGTAATTCAGAAGGTGAGAGTGAAGAGGTAGTTGTTGTAAATAAAGAAATGATGAATGTAATAAATAAATATTGTTTCTGACCTCACTATAGAGGATGCATAAAACATTCCAGCAATTCCTGTAAAATTCCTGCAAATCTCGAGGTTGAAGGGAGACAGCAAGATGGTGAAGTTATATTCACCAGGGAAGCAATATCGAGCAAACTGATGGAGCGGTGGATTGAAAATCTCAGGGTGCTAATTAACTTTAACCCAAGGTCTTAAAAGAGATTCTTAATGAGGTATTAGATGCGTTGGTGTTTATTTTCTAAAATTCAGTAGTTTCTGGAAATGTTCCATTAGACTTGAAAAATGCAAATACAGTCCTTCTGTTTAAGAAAGGATGGAGGCAGAAAACATGGAATTAGCTTCATGACTGGGGAAGCTGTTGGAAATGATCATTAAGCATATTATAATAACGCACTTGGAAAAACGCAAGGTAATCGGGAAGAATCAGCATGGTTTATAGAAGGGAAATCGTGATTAATCAATTTATTATAATTCTTTGAGGAAGTAACATAGAGTACAGAGAAATTACAGGTAAAATGCAATATCTGCAATGGATGGGCACTTCTGGTGTAGGCGCGATTCATTTGGCACTAAAATTCCTTTGCTACTGTGGGATTAATATACCCACAAAAGGGGAGGAAATCACTGGAGATGAAAACGTTTAAAAGAAAAGTTTTAATGTATATTGTACTGAACTGGGCCATGGTGTATTTAACTTCTGAACTTAAAAGCATCAGTTTATGAGCATGCAAGACAGTTAAATTAGTGGGCCAGCAGTAGGATACATTTAAAAATAATAGGATAGGGTATGGAGTAAACATTTTCCAACCAGGAATAAACTAACTGCATTAAAAACTACATGTGCATAACAAGAAAAATAGAAACAAGACTAACAGTTTAGTCCTCATTGAAACTGGTAATTCAGAAGGTGATCGGTAGCTCATTTTGGAGCAGACTCACCTTCAAGCCCCGTTCCAGGATTTGAGTGCATAAAACCTAGGGCTAATATTCAAATGCTGTACTGTCAGAGGTGCCATTTTTTGGATGAAACGTTAAACCAAAGTCCCATCTGCCTGTTCAATGGATGTAAAAGATCCCTTGCCAATTGTCTGAAGAGCATTAGGGGAGTTATCCCTGGTATGCCAGTCAATATCTATCTCTCAATCCACAGCACAAAAACAAATAATCTGTTTGTTATCACATTGTTAGCTACATTTATAATGAAAAAAGTGTTTGCAGATACAGTTGTTCATCACAACCAAAGTAAATGCAGAAACTAAATACCACATCAAATTAATAAAATATTCCAGCTACCTTTGAAGAAAGTGATCCTCTTTCCATCTTTTCAAATCCCAAAGCTAGAGTGCAATCAGCCAGCCCTTGAAAAACATGAAAAGAATATTGCAAAAGTATTTTTAGACCAGTGAAATAGGAATCACAATTAACTCAGTCATTTAAAACTTGCTGGCCTAGCACTTTGTCTTTTTAAAAAGTCAAATATTAATACTTTATCCAAAAGCTTTCACTGCATTACGTTAAACAGTTTGATTTTTATGTTTGCATATTATCGTATTCTGCAAAACAAAAATGAATGACTATTTACAACAACATGTTAAAAAATGAAAACACCTTTCATGAAGTTACTGGAGGATGAGGATATCGGCAACAGAGAGACTTTTACGAAACTGCTTCTGACAGATCCAACTTTGAAATATGGGCTGATAATGCAGCGTACACACAACAAGGCCGTGAAACCTCAGCATTGTCAGCATTGAAATCAGACAACATTGTGCTGTAAGAAACATTAACACTGCACTCGAGATGCATGAAATGGGTGAATTTAAAAGGCCACTGGCTAGAATTCCAGGAACAGCAGCTCTTAAAGATCTGATGTCCCTTTAAATCTGTCCTGAAAATAAAAAGGATGACATGGTGGCACATTGGCTCAGTGGTCCCTGCCTCACAGCGCCAGGGACCCGGGTTCAATCCCAGCCTTAAGCAATCATCTGTATGGAGTTTGCACATTCTCTCCGTGTCTGTGCGGGTTTCCTCCGGGTGCTTCAGTTTCCTCCCACAGTCTAAAGATGTGCAGGTTAGGTGGATTGGCCATGCTATTTTGCCCATAGTGTGTAGGTTACATGGATTAGCCATGGGAAATGCAGGGATTGGGTAGATGGGTGAGTCTGGGTGGGATGATCTCTGCAGAGTCGGTGTGTGCTTGTTAGGCCGAATGGCCTGTTTCCACGCAGTAGGGATCTTTGATTGACAGCATCTGCGCACAATATTATATTAAAACTCCTTCAGCTCAATTTTCCCAAATTTGGGAAGTGTTTTTTTTTTAAAAGTGACATTCATGGCATCTGATCTGCCATGGAAACTTTATTCACACAATCTTCATTTCATTCATTATGCAATTGGCTTCTTTGGAGACAGTTTCATGTGGCAGGAGACAGAAATGCTCAACGCTGCCAGCACTTTGCGAAGTACACAGAGCCTGTGGCATTTTTAAACTCCAGCTGCACACCACCATATACACTCCAAGACAGGAACAGTCTTCACACTATGCTCCTGCATCATTCTCCTGAAGGAAATGACCAATAAAGGCAAGTTAGCTCCTTGGTTCACTGACAGGGATGTGGAGGTGCTGGTGAACAGGGCAGTGGAAAGGAGGGCAGTGCTAACTGGCAAAGGAGGCCACCATAATGAACTGAGACGGTGATTGATCAAGTGCAGTATCCTGGGTGAAATGTGATGAACAACTGTGCAGAAAAAAAGGAACGAAGTTGAAGTCATGAAGCTGAAAAAATGAAACTCAAGATGCATCCTATATAGAGTGTGTGTCTCTGCAAAAAGCAACCTGATGGAAGCATACAGGTCATAGATGTCCCTTAGCCCAAAGTAAAGTTTGAAGGGCTGAAAGGGTATGTGTGTTGGTCCGAGACTAAACACAATGTGGTGGAACTATAGTTTGCATTGTTGACTTGCATGGTTGGATGGGAACTGTGTACAATGGCACTGTCTAGTTTCTCAGTGAAGGAGATTCTCAGGGAAGAACAGGGAAAACAGAAGCTGCATTGAAGCATTCAAACTGGGCAAATGAACGGAAATAAGGTAGTCACCGCTTGTTATCAAGATTTTGAACTCGCTGTTTAAACTTTAAGCGGAGAAATCAAATTATTTTCTTGATATCGAAATTCTGACATTTTCCATTTTTTTCCTTTTCTTTGCCATTGCCCATGCTCCTCATGGAAACAGAAAATTCCACCACTAACATCAGTTTACAAGAAATGAGGGTTCTCTGACACTTAACTTCATGCTTAGGTATTTGCCTAAGGCAGATTAAAAAGTAGCTGTCTACAAAGAATATAAACATTTGGGCAACATAAAATGCTAAGTGAATTGCAGCAATTATAGAAAAATAACTTCTTTACCGTTAAAAATTACATTAATAAAATTATTTTGAATTCTTCCAAGGGGAGGTATCGATATTATTCTGTAAAAATGGAATCATATTTATATGGCTGGAGATCTGGGGATAGGGGAGATGGCTTCACCCCAAGCCCTAACTGATAACTTCTCAACACAATCTTGACTCCTGGTGGATGGAAGCAATCAATTTGAATATCTCTTTCTCACAGGGAGATGCTGAGACTTCTGCTCCTACTAGAAATTGTTTTGACTTTTCTCCGTAATTTTCGCTTACAAGGATGGGCGGGAGCAAGTACAAAATATGGCAATAATAGCCACCAAGAAACAACTTGTAGAAAACTTGTAGAAAATTCAGACATTTCATTTTAATTTAAGTGCACCTTAGCACCTCATTACAATTATATTTCATTTGGCGTCTTGTGGTTCTTACACGTAGGTTACATTGGCTTACCTCCTTGTATCAGCTGCCTCGCCACAAATAGAGCAGTTGAGCCAGTGGAGCAGTTGTTATTCACATTAATTATGGGTATTCCAGTTGTTCCTAAACTGTGATAGATTGCACGTTGGCCACAAGTTGAATCACCTTCATAAAGAGAATGACAGAAATTCATTTGAATTGATCACGGCTGCCAAAAGCTGAAGTTAAAACTAAAAAGGCATTAGACATAATATGCATGGTAATTAATCATCTTACCTAGTGTCTTCTTTCCTCAAACAACTTCCCTTTCAACTTTGTTAAAAGAAAACCATTTTCAAAACAGCTTTTTAAACTAGATACCTTTCTCAAGTTAGGATCTAGCAAGACAACAGAATGTCTCTATTCTTGACTCACTGCTATCTCCCAAGCAAAGATTCCTGACTATCAATATAAGTAACATTAACAAAATATGCAAATCCTTTATAACTCACTGTAACTACCTGTAGTTACAATGTACTATGTCTTAAATACTTTCATATTATAGCACTGTTATGCACAAACAATTTGTGTTTAAATAGAGTTCGAATCCATACTTTGTGAGAGCTTTCTTCAGTAACCACAAACCATAAAGCACTTGCACCCAGCTCCCCACATTTATATAACCAATTAACCAAACCCTTATTTGATATATTGATTATCTGTTCCCTTATTCCATTCAGTCTCAAGCATTCATTCAGATCTTATTAAATAATAACAACACTTCTATCCTCTGTAGTTTCAAACAGCAAATTAATGAAAAATCTGGGCTGACACTTCACTATAGCACCAAGGAAGAGGTGTATTCCAAAAGTATTTTGTTTAACATGGAATGTTAATCTAAAGATTAATTGGATGAATCTTGCAGTTGCTTTATGTGTAGAAAAGTGGAGTTCCGATGATGCCTTGGGCTTTTAGCCAACCACATAATTTAATCATTGCAGAATTACAGGGTTTCAAAGAAATTTACTGTGGGCGAAACACGTTGAGTTGTTCCAGGTAAAGGTAAATTCAAGTTCTATCCTGTGCGAAAATAAGAGAATTTAATTAAGTGATATATTTTGACCCTAAAGCAACAACAATAAGGAAAATTTGTAATTACTTAAAATGTATCGGTTATCCATAGTTTTTCTTCAAATGTTAACTAGGACTATTAACTAGGACTTTATCATTTTGGATCTTAAGAAATACCGGTCCACTTGACCTTTTAGCACATGACCTGAAAACAATATCAACACAGAAGGAAGTTAAAATTTTGAATTTGCACAGTAATTCAAAAACAATTAGACCAAGAGAAAAGAGGAACTGAGCAGTGGGAAGGTTCTAGAAGTAGATGCCTCATTGTGTGGAAGACGGCATGGGCAGAAGCCTTTTTACACAGGCACTGATGCCTGCAGGAGTTCATCCAAATTTTAAAAATAGGAAGGAACTAGAATTCTGGTTGGAAGAGCAGTGTGGCTGAAATTGGAATGATGCAGGCAGACTGAATTGTCTAGTATCTCTGTGAAATAGTCTTTGTTGCGTCTGCTATTGCGTGTGTAATTTAAAATTCATCCCGAGTGTGAGTTGCCTGATAATTCAGGTTTAATCTGCATTGATTTTGATTCATGTTGACGTGATGTTCCTCAAAATGAAATATTATTTAATTATTCCTTCATGCAAAGGTTGTTTCCTATATGTTTTCTTTTGATTACAAATCCCCATAAGGAATATAACAACTAATCTAAATGTTTGCTTGAAGGTTCTAATAAGAATTCGCTTTTGATATAATATTCACAGATTCACACTTAGTTAATTCATAGAATGTTCATTTAATGCAAAATATATTATCTTGATAATAGAAAAATAAAACAAAATTTTAGTAGTCTGTTGGATAGAAAAGCAGCTAAATTGATGTAACACAGTGTGGAGCTGGAGGAACGCGGCAGGCCAGGCAGCACCACAGGAGCAGGAAAGCTGACTTTTCAGGTCAGGACCCTTCTTCCTGCTCCTCTGATGCTGCCTGGCCTGCTGTGTTCCTCCAGCTCCACACTGTGTTACCTCAGACTCCAGCATCGGCAGTTCTTACTGTCTCCCAGCTAAATTGATGTATTCCCAGCTGGAGCAAAAAGTTGCAATCAGAAAGCGGACGTTTAAAATACTGTAATGTTGCAAAGAACTACCTTTTCACTAACACAAACAAAATTGCTGGAAAAGCCCAGCAGGTTTGGCAGCATCTGTGATGGAAAAAACAGAGTTAATGTTTCGGGTCCGGTGACCCTTTTCACTAATACCTTTCATAGAGCAAACTCTGCTGCCTTTACCTTTCTGCCTTACTATATGACGTTAGACCCACACAATGTGGTTGATTCTTAACTGCCCTCTAACATAGCCAAGCAAGCCACTCAAACTTTTCAGCATCTGCAGTTCTTTATTTTGTTTGAACAAGCCACTCATTTGTATTCAAGAAAGTGGTTCATTACCACCTTCTCAAGTGGAGGTGGGCAATAAATGCTGGCCTTGCCAATGATGCTCACACCCTATAAATAAGGAAATATTTTACAGATGTAGATTTACACTTATATAGCACTTTTCACAGTCCCAGAATGTCCCAGTGATCATAAATTACTTTTGAAGTAAAGTCATTGTTACACTGTAAAAGTATTGAGGCCCATCTCTAGTTATAAATTACTTCCACCAAATATAAGGCAGCAAAGTGGGAGATGTTTCAAGAAAACTCACAACAATGTGACTGAATATATTATTCGGCAAGTGATTTACAAGCTGGTCTTCTCTGGCATCTCTTCCCAAACTTTGAAAAGCTACAAACAATTAAATGAAGTAATGCTCTGCGCTCACCATACACATAACCCACACAAGCTTGTTCCACAGCAGAGTATGCAATGCCAGCATCAGCCAATGCCTTCTGAGCTATAATAGAAAGAAAACAATTAAATTTCTGCCCTTTAGAATTTGTTTCGCAGATTTAAATACATCAGTATTGCTGACCTATTTATCAAGAGAAGTGTGACTGTATGATTAGAAACAGATGAATTGAGATTAACATTATACAGCAATGTCAAACTGTTACAGAATCACAGAACTTATCATGGCACATAATGCTATTCACCTGCCTTTTCCACATATCCCTATACACTATTTCTTTCTAAATTGTAATTTAACACCCTCTTCAATGCCTCAATTGAACCTGCCTCCTCCACATTTTGGGCACTTCATTCCAAACACCAACCACTTGCTGTGCCAAAAAGTCTTTTTCTCACGTCACCCTTGCTTTGTTTACACATTACTTTAAATCTAAGCTTTCTTCATTTTATTTTTATGAGCATTTGCATAAAAGAAACTACTGCTGCATTTTATTACATTAGTGGCACAGTGCAAATAGGGAGACAATACTAGTTCCACTGTAGACACAGAACTCAACCTCTTGAACATATTTTCCCAATGCTAATAGCCGCACAGATACAAACTAGCACATGCCACACTCAGTTTGAGCATTCTAACCACTCATACAAATGCGCCTTCTGTATCGCTGACAAAAAGAATGTCCAGAAATATAGTGCCTCGTCCCCACTCCTCCCATGCAATGTTTTAGGAAGATATATTATGAAGCCCAAGACCAAATTATTTTAAATGCAATGAATTGTATTGTACATTCAGTTTAAACGTACATATGTTTGTGTCTGTATCATGGACCAATCTGGAATTCTGTATGATTTTCTGATGGATCAATGTTGCATGCTGCAACTAGCCAGCCAGGTCTCAGAACCGTATAACACAAACAGCCACAAAACTGAAAGCACTGATCTTGTCTGTGGGACTAAGGCCAAACAAATAAACTTGATGTTCATTTCTCATTTCAAAAATGTTCAAACTTCAATTTTAACTCTGGAATTTCCCTTGCTCTAAAACTCATGGATTATTACAATTGTTTGCCCACTTGACTGGCACTACATCCACAAGCAGCCACTCCCTTAACCACCGATACTTAGTTGTAGCAGTGTTTACCAACTACAAGATGCATGCAGAAATTCACCAAGGATCCTTAGACAGCACCTTCCAAACCCATGATCACAGTTAGCTAGAAGAACAAGGGCAGAAAATAAATGGGAACTCTGCTACCAGCAAATTCCCCTCTAAGCCACTCACCGTCCTGACATGGAAATATCCATCCTTTGTGTCATTGGATCAAAATCCTGGATTTACCCCCTTAACTACATGAACTACAGTGGTTCAAGAAGGCAGTTCACCACCACCTTCTCAAGGGTAACTAGGGATTGGCAATAAATGCTGGCCCAGCCGGTGATGCCCACATCCATGGGTGATTTTTTTTTTTAAATTTATAAATGTATGAGTTTACTGGTTTCTAAATGAGCAAAATAATACAAATCGTTCAAAAAAACAAACTAAAATTATTATGATACCTGCTTCTTTGGCCATGTCAGGATAGTCAACATCTTCTAGAGCCCCAGGCTTTTCAAACTGGTGGAAAAGAAATGACAAATTACATTTTTAAATAAATTTGAACTGTATCTTACTTATGGTCCTAATTATGGTCCTAATATAGCCCGTTCAATTGATTTAAGTGTGTTAGAATTACGAATGCTTCTTTATTACATTTGCGTGCTCTGTGCCTGGACAAATGAATGGAGAGAAATGGGTGGCTCATCCCTTAAAGCTTTATGGCTTACTTAGTTGCAAATAGAGTGGCACAGGTACAACAGATCTTGTTGGGTAATAGAGACATACAGCACAGAAACAGACCCTTTAGTCCAACTCGTCCATGCCGACCAAGCTTCCCAAACTAAACTGGTCCCATTTGCCTGCATTTGGCCCATATCCCTCTAAACTTTTCCTATTCATGTACCCAACGTCTTTTAAAAGTTGTAACTGTACCTGCATCTACCATTTCCCCTGGCAGTTCATTCCACATATGAATCACTCTCTGTGTAAAAAAGTTACCCCTCAGGTCCCTTTTTAATCTTCCTCCTTTCACCTTAAAAATGCCACCTCTAGTTTTGTACTCCCCTACCCAATGGCAAAGACCTTTGCTACTCGCCTTATCTATGCCCCTCATGATTTTATAAACCTCTACAAGGGCACCCATCAACCTCCTATGCTCCAGTGAAAAAAGTCCCAGCCTATCCAAATAACTCAAACTCTTCAGTCCTAGCAACATCCCAGTAAATCTTTTCGGAACCCCCTCCAATTTATTAATATCCTTTCTATAGCAGAGTGACCAGAACTGTACACAGTACTCCAAAAGTGGCCTCACCAACATCCAGTACAACCTCAACATGACGTCCTAACTTCTAAACTCAATGGGCTGAGCAATGAAGGCAAGTGTGCTTCTTAACAATCCTGTCTTCTTAACAATCTGTCTATCTGTTACACAACTTTCAAAGAACTTTGTACCTGAACCCCTAGGTCTGTCTGTTTGACAACACTACACAAGGCCCTACAATTAACTGTATAAGTTCTCTTGTCAATATGATTTTTAACACCTTTAGACTCATTGTCACTATCAATCAAGCTATTAAAAGGCCTCACACCATGATTTGAATTCCACTCCAATTTTACCAAGTCAGGTGGGGAGAATACTTACATGGGGTCAAGAGCAGTATTTTAAGTGTAGTACTATCACAGTCTACAGGAAATTGCTGACAACAGTGAAAGGAGAGATGGGGAAATGACAAAGTCTTCTCCTATAAGCCAACAGTGGACAAGCTATTTTTACACTCATAGTCAAGGAGTCAAAAAGTCTGGTCATAGCATTCCATTGTGTGATTCGCCAAGAAACATTAGAAAAACTCAGGTCAGTAGGCAAACACTCCCAATGACTGGAATTATGCTCGGTGTATAAGAATTTGGTCATGATTGTCAAGGGCCTTCAACACAGTTCAAGAAAACGTCTTCAGTGCAGCAATCTTCAGTTTTTTCTTGAAAAGAACTCCCTGGCGTATATTCAGGAGTGGACTTATTATTCTAGTATTCAATTCCATTTATACGATTTGGGATAATGAACCAGCCCATGCCAAGCTATAACAGAATCTGGTCATAAAAGCAAGACAGAAGATGGGTATGATGTGACAAATGTCTCACTTCCTGAACCTCAAAGCCTTTCCACTATCCACAAGGCACAACCCAGCAGTGAAACGGAAGAGTTATTAATCGTCAGGATGTATGCAGCTGCAAGAGTCAAGAAACTTGAGATCATCCTGGTCTGGCTGGTTCACGAGATACAGATTAAGAACTGCATTTGCAGATTGCCATATCAAGCTTGAAAGAGAAATAAGACTGGTATTTTACATTTAAAGAAGGCTAATCATATGGGCATGAAAGCTGAGCTAACTAATGCGAACTAGGATATTAGGCTAGGAGGTAGATCCTTAGAAAAGAAGAGGTAGAACATTTTAAGAGATCTTTACTCAGAATGAGTACTTTCCCCTCTAAGTGACATTTTCAAGGGGAGGACCTACCATCAGTGGTTAACCAAATCATTTAGGGAAAACATCAAACTTAAAGGATAAGCAAATATTGGTGCAAAAATAATGACTAGTCAGAGTACAAAGAACGATTGAGAATGACTAAAAGGTTAATCAGGACAAATAAATCAGAGCATGACAGGAAGCAAGCTAGAAATGTAAAATCAGATAGCAAGAGTTTCTACGGACATCTAAAAAGAAAGGAATAAAAGAAGTCTGTGTTTATACTCTGAAGGGTGAGAATGGGGGAGTTAATAATAGACAATAAAGAAATTGTAGATGTAATTAATAAATATTTTGCATCTGTCCCAATAATACCGGTAAACCAGGAAGATGAATTATAAACATTTAGAAAGTGGCACTAAGCTAACTGATGGGGGTGCAGATTGATTAATCTCTGGGTCCTGAAAGACTTCATCCTAAGGTCTTAAAAAGGGTGGCTAATCAGGGTTAGATGTGTTGGTGTTAATTTTCCAAAAGTCATCTCATTCTGAAAATGTCCCTTCAGACTGCAAAGTAGCACATATAAGCCCTCTGTTCAAGAAGGAAGAGAGGCAGAAAACAGGGAATTACACGCTAGTTAGCTCTGCATTTTTTGTAACAGAATCGCTACAGTGTTGAAGCAGGCCATTCAGCCCATTGAGTCCACACCAAACTTCTGAAGAGCATCCCACCGAGTCCCACCCCCATCCCTAATAACCTTGTATTTCTGATGGCTAACCCACCTAGCCTGCACGTCCATGAACACCATGGGCAATTTAGCATGGCTAATCCACCTAACCCGCACATCTTTGGACTGGGTGAGGAAACCAGAGCACCCGGAGGAAAGCCATGCAGACAGTTCCATGAAGCTGGATTCAAACCCGCTCCCTGGCACTGTGAGGCAGCAGTGCTAACCACTGAGCCACTGTCCCACACATCTGTTGTGAACAAAGTGTTAGAATTAAGCATTAAGGAGGTTATAACTGGGCACTAAGAAAAATTCAAGTTAATTGGGTAGAATCAGCATCATTTGGTGAAAGGGAAATTGTGTTTAATCAATTTACTGACATTCTTTGAAGGAATAATACGCATTGTGAAAAAAGGAAAGCATGCTGATAAACTGAACTTGGATTTCTAGAAGGCATTTGACAAGATTACTGCACAAAGTATAAGATCATAGTGTAGGGGGTAACACACCGACATAGATCAAAATTGGCTGGCAGGAAAGAAACAGAGTATCCATAAATAGAAGGTAGAGCAGTGGATGTGGTACACATGGATTTAAGTAAAGCGTTTGATAAGGTTCCCCCTGATGGGCTCATGCAGAAAGTAAGGAGGCATGGGATAGGGGGAAATGTGGCAGATTGGATTCAGAATTGGCTGACCCTTAGGAGACAAAGGGTAGTATTGAACGGAAAATATTCAACATGGTGCTCAGTTACGAGTGGTGTACCACAAGGATCTGTTCTGGGTCCTCTTCTATTTGTGATTTTTGTAAATGATTTGGATGTCAGAGTGGAAGGGTGGATTAGTAAGTTCGCGGACGATACGAAGGTGAGTCGAGTTGTGGATGGTGGGGAGGGCTATTCTAGGTTACAAAAGGGCATTTGACAGGATGCAGAGCTGGGCTGAGAAGTGGCAGATGGAGTTTAACCCTGAAAAGTGTGAGGTGATTCATTTTGGAAGGACAAACTTGAAAGCAGAATACAAGGTTAACGGAAAGATTCTTGGCAGCGTGGAGGAGCAGAGGGATCTTGGGATTCATGCCCACAGTTCCCTGAAAGCTGCCACCCAGGTGAATAGAGCTGTTAAGAAGACATATGGTGTGTTAGCTTTCATTAATAAAGGGATTGAGCTCAAGAGCCGTGAAGTTATGCTCCAGCTATACAAAAGCCTGGTTCGGCCACATCTGGAGTATTGTGACCAGTTCTGGTCGCCCCATTAGAGGAAAGTTGTGGAAGCGTTGGAAAAGGTGCAGAGGAGATTTACCAGGATGTTGCCTGGAATGGAGGGAAGGTTTTATGACGAAAGGTTGAGAGAGCTAGAGCTTTTCTCTTTAGAACAACGAAGGATGAGAGGTAACTTGATAGAGGTGTACAAAATGATCAGAGGTATAGATAGAGTGGACAGCCAGAGACTTTTTCCTAGGGTGGAGGTAGGTATTATGAGGGGGCATAGTTTTAAAGTGAGTGGAGGTAGATACAGGGGGGACGTCAGAGGTACGTTCTTTACTCAGAGAATGGTACGGGCGTGGAATGCATTACCAGAGACGGTACTGGAGTCGGCCCCATTGGGGCATTAAGCGGCTATTAGATAGGCATATGGACGATAGTATAAGATAGGGGTGAAGGTTAGCTAGACCTTAGGTTTAGGGTAAAAGTTCAGCACAACATCATGGGCCAAAGGGCCTATACTGTGCTGTACTGTTCTATGTTCTATAAATGGTTTTTTTCCAGATTGGCAGGATATGATGCGTAGTCCCGCAGGAGTATGTGTTGGACCCTCAACTTTTTTACTATTTAGATAAATTCCTTAACTGAGGGAATCGAAGGCATGATGACTAAATTTACAGGTGACACAATGATAGGTGGAAATTAAGTTCTGAAGATGGTAAAAGGATACAAAACAATATAAATAGGTTAAGTGAGTGGACAAATATCTGGCAGCTAGAGTATAATATTAGAAAGGTGAAGTTGTACACTTTTGGCAAAAAGAATAAAAAAAGCAGAATATTATTTAATTGGACAACACATACAAAGTTCCTCTGAGAATAGGGATTTAGGTGTTCTGATACATGAGTTATAAAATGTTAGTATGCAGTGATTAAGAAGAATAATGGAATGCTATCCGTTATGAAGAGAGGAATGAACATAAAAGGTGTATATCAGAAATTGTTGTCTCAAGCTTGGTACAGTGCTCCAGCGAAACTCAGCACAAGCTGGAAGAATAGCACCTCATTTTCTCCTTGGGAACCCTGCAACCTTCTGAACTCAAAAACAAAAACAGAAGTTGCTAG